GTGAAAGGAGAAGCAGGAGGCTGCTGAGATCATCTCTCTGTCACTCTGCTCTCTCCCCCCGTCAGCACGTTCCTTTCACTTCAGCACAACTGATTGGTTTCTTGTGCTGCTTTCTACTCCACCATTCTAGACTGGGGATCGCGAGAGGCTGCTACCATGTCCAGCCAGGGCTGCTGTTAGAAACCACGGGGCCCCACACAGCCAACCTTACATCCATTAATGTCCGTATCTGTTAACATCTGTGTTTTTGAAAGGTAGAAAACCCTATTTTTCTTCTGTTAAACGGAACAGAACGGATGAAAAAACGGATAAAAACTGAGAAATTGGATGTAAACAGATGAAAAACTGATGTAAATAGATATAAAACGGATGTAAACAGATGAAAAAGGGATGTGAACTGACAAAAATGGACAAAATGGATGTAAACGGGCAAAAAAAAACGGATGTAAACAGATGAAAAACAGATGTGAATGGACAAAAATGGACAAAATGGATGAAAAGGGGCAAAAAAAAAAAAAAAAAAAACGGATTTAAAACAGATGAAAAACAGATGTGAACGGACAAAACAGATATAAACAGATGAAAAAAGGATGTGAATGAATAAAAGCTGAGAAAATGGATGTAAATGGATGAAAAAACGGATGTGAACGCACAAAAATGGACAAAACGGATGAAAAGGGGCAGATGAAAAAAGGATTAGAAACAGATAAAAAACTGAGAAAATGGATGAAAATGGACAAAACGGATGTAAACGGGCAAAAAACAGATGTAAACAGATGAAAAAACGGATGTGAATGGACAGAAAAAGAAGTAAACGGACAAAAAAAGGGATGTAAACAGATGAAAAAAGGATGTGAACAGATAAAAGCTGTGAAAATGGATGAAAAATGGATGTGAACGGACAAAAATGGACAAAACGGATGAAAAGGGGCAAAAAAAACAGATGTAAACAGATGAAAAAACAGATGTGAACGGACAAAAATGGACAAAACGGATGAAAAGGGGCAAAAAAATTGATGTAAACAGATGAAAAACAGATGTGAACGGACAAAACAGATATATAAAACAGATGAAAAAAGGATGTGAACGGATAAAAGCTGAGAAAATGGATGTAAATGGATGAAAAACGGATGTGAACGTACAAAAATGGACAAAACGGATGAAAAGGGGCAAGAAAACGGATGTAAACAGATGAAAAAAGGATTTGAACAGATAAAAACTGAGAAAATGGATGAAAATGGACAAAATGGATGTAAACGGGCAAAAAAGGATGTAAACAGATGAAAAAAAGGATGTGAATGGACAGAAACAGAAGTAAACGGACAAAAAAAGGAATGTTTACATACCTTTTTTTGTCCAAAAAAAGGATGTGAACGGATAAAAGCTGAGAAAAATGGATGAAAAACGGATGTGAACGGACAAAAATGGATAAAACGGATGAAAAGGGGCAAAAAAACGGATGTAAACAGATGTGAACGGACAAAAATGGACAAAACGGATGAAAAGGGGCAAAAAAACAGATGTAAACAGATGAAAAACAGATGTGAACGGACAAAACAGATATAAACAGATGAAAAAAGGATGTGAACAGATATAAACTGAGAAAACGGATGAAAATGGACAAAATGGATGTAAACGGGCAAAAAACTGATGTAAACCGATGAAAATGGACAGAAACAGAAGTAAACGGACAAAAAAAGGGATGAAAAAAGGATGTGAACGGATAAAAGCTGAGAAAATGGATGTAAATGGATGAAAAATGGATGTGAACGGAAAAAAAAATGGGACAAAACGGATGAAAAGGGATGTAAATGGACAAAAAACTGCTGAAAAAACGGATGTGAATGGCCAAAAAAACGAATGTAAACGGACAAAAAAGGGATGCAAACAGAATAAAAATGGATGTGATCGGACAAAAAAGGGATGGATGTATCGGAAAAAATGGACAAAAAAAAAGGGATGCAAACAGAATAAAAATGGATGTGATCGGACAAAAAACGATGTAAACGGACAAAATGGATGTAAACAGATGAAAAATGGACGTAAACGGACAAAGACAGATGAAAAACGGATGTAAACTGATGAAACTTTTATGTAAACTGATGAAAAACGGATGTAAACGAATGTGACAAAAATGTATTTAAACGAACAAAAAAAAGGATATAAACAGATGAAAAACAAGGGTCCTGCGTGTTTTTGATGCGATTCGAACCATACAAAATGTACGTCTCTGATTGCGCCGCGCACAAAATCGCATGCGATTGGCAGAGGACTGTGGCGCGGTTCCTGCGCGAAGCACACATGATGCACCGCAACGCATGTATGTGTACCCGGGCTGTGGGGGCGGGGCCTGATGGGAACGTACAATATATATGTACGGCGCTGCGCACATTGACGGCGATATCAGTTCCTGGAATAAAATAATAATATTACCATCTTTTTAGCTTTTTGGGTTTTTTTTTGCTCTTTTCACTCAGTTTTCTGTTTCCTGACGGCTGCCGTTCAGCCGCAACTGTTCCTGCGTTTCCTCCAACCGCCCCAAAGGGCAGGATTTCCTCCTCGGACGCGTTATCGCGGGGAAACGGGCCTGCGATCTGTTTTGTGCTGCCGCTGGTGACAGACCTTCTCCTCCCATCAGTGAAAAAAATACAACAAAAAAACAACAAAAAGTTGAAACAAGCGACTGTGTGAAATCGCAGCGCGGTAATGCGGGTGGATTGTCCTCTCTATGGGGGGGATGGGGGGGTCCCGGTCAGCAGAAACAAGAAGCGGCCCGTTCACTAGATACATTGTTACCATCACGGGTCAAATCATGAGATCGGAGGGAAAAAGGTTACATTCACACCGATCCGCGCAAACACACGGCGTTTATTACCGCACTTTTACCAGGTTTTTTAAAAGACGCGGGACTTAAAAACGGCTCCAAAAACGCTTCTCAGAGGCGTTTTTGGGGCGCTATTCATGCATTAATTAGGTGTTTTTTCAGGCGTTTTGGGGGCATTTTTTTTTGCCCCAAAGATGCTGCAGATGGGAGTTTTTGCACCGCAAACACAACGCCTCCGTGTGAACACGGACATAGATATACATTCACATACACAGGGAAGCGTTTTTCTTGAGCTGTTCAGACGCTTTTTTGAACGCAAAAAAAACTTTTTTGAAGCGTTTATTGTGTTGTTGCGCTTAGACATGCGTGCGACAAAACGCGTGCGAACGGTGCGAAAAAGTGATGAGAGAGGCGGGCTTTCCAAACCGCTTTGATCTCTTCGTCGGGCATTTTGAAAGCTTGCTTCTTCAGGCTTACATTGGCCAATAAAGAAACTCCCAACTTCCTGCGCTGAGCGAAGTCTGACACCATGCGATGGCTGACACCATGCGTGACTGACACCATGCAATGACTGACACCATGCAGTGACTGACACCATGCGATGACTGACACCATGCGATGACTGACACCATGTGATGACTGACACCATGCGAGTGACTGACACCATGCAGTGACTGACACCATGCGATGACTGACACCATGCAGTGACTGACACCATGCAGCGACTGACACCATGCAGCGACTGACACCATGCAGCGACTGACACCATGCGATGACTGACACAATGCGATGACTGACACAATGCGATGGCTGACACCGTGCAATGACTGACACCGTGCGATGGATGACACCGTGCGATGACTGACACCATGCGATGACTGACACCATGCGATGGCTGACACCATGCGACCACCATGCGATGACTGACACCATGCTGACACCATGACTGACACCATGCGATGACTGACACCATGCGATGGCTGACACCATGCGATGGCTGACACCATGCGATGGCTGACACCATGCGATGGCTGACACCATGCGATGGCTGACACCATGCGATGGCTGACACCATGCGATGATTGACACCATGCGATGACTGACTGACACCATGCGATGACTGACACCATGCAATGACTGACACCATGTGACACCATGGCTGCAGGGGGTGGACTGACAAATCATGGGGCCCCCGGGCAATAGGGGATCATGGGGCCCCTGTGTCCTTGCCCAAACTCAAAAAAGCCTATGAAAAAGGTACCAGGGGCATCTCATGGGGCCCCCTACTGACCCCGGGCCCTCGGGCAGTGCCCGAGTTGCCAAATGGTCCGTCTGCCCCTGGATGGCTGACACCATGCGATGACTGACACCATGCGATGACTGACACCGTGCGATGGCTGACACCATGCAACACCCTGAAAAAGGAAACATTGTAAAAAGTATTATTTTTGTATCTTTTGTATACAAATATTAAAGCAAAGGACGATTGCACAACACCCCTCCCCCCCCCCTCAGGTTCCAGCTATTCGCATCGAACTTCCTCTGTGATCTCACCCTCCCCCCCCCCCCCCCCCCCCCGATCGCCCGCTTCTCATTACGAGTCGCTTGTAAAACTTGAATGAAATCTTTTTGGCCGACGACTGCAAAGAAACAACGCAGCCAAACTTTGTGCGACTTTCCCTCCCTCGCCGCCCCGAGCGCAGCAACCCGAATCCAGAATCCAGAAACCTGCATCTGCGGGCCGCGTCCTGCCACCAGACGGGTCCTGAGGGCTGCACTGATTGGAGGAATGAACACAGGATGTGCGCCACTCCGTGCCAACCTCCCACCCTGGGGGCCACTCCGTGCCAAGCTCTAACCCCGGGGACCCCTCCCTCCAAACTCCCACCCTGGGGGCCCCTTGGCATCTGCCGACCCCGGAGGAGAACTTTCATCCTGGAAACTCCATTTTCTTTTTCATGTTTAAACGTGAATGAGACGGAACTCGACATCGACTTTTGTTTGTAATAAAACTTCGAGCTGCCAGAGATCATTATAGATTTTATTACGTGTCGCGTCTGTTTGATATTACGGTTCACATTTTATATTTTCTTACTTTATGTACTTTTATAGCCCAACTCCAGGCATAAGAAAAAACCCCGGGAACTCAGCACAGGGATGGTGGGAACCCCTCATAACGGGCACAGCGGGTGTACAGACCCGGGAACTCAGCACAGGGATGGTGGGAACCCTTCATAACGGGCACAGCGGGTGTACAGACCCGGGAACTCAGCACAGGGATGGTGGGAACCCCTCATAATGGGCACAGCGGGTGTACAGACCCGGGAACTCAGCACAGGGATGGTGGGAACCCCTCATAATGGGCACAGCGGATGTACAGACCTGGGAATTCAGCACAGGGATGATGGGAACCACTCATAATGGGCACAGCAGGTGTAAAAATCCGGGAAGTCAGCACAGGGATGGTGGGAACCCCTCGTAATGGGCACAGCGGGTGTACAGACCTGGGAACTCAGCACAGGGATGGTGGGAACCCCTCATAATGGGCACAGCGGGTGTACAGACCCAGGAACTCAGCACAGGCATGGTGGGACTCCCTCATAACGGGCACAGCAGGTGTACAGACCCGGAAACTCAGCACAGGAATGGTGGGACTCCCTCATAATGGGCACAGCGGGTGTACAGACCCGGGACTCAGCACAGGGATGGTGGGAACCCCTCATAATGGGCACAGCGGGTGTACAGACCCAGGAACTCAGCACAGGGATGGTGGGAACCCCTCATAATAAGCACAGAGGGTGTACAGACCCGGGAACTCAGCACAGGGATGGTGGGAACCCCTCATAATGGGCACAGAAGGTGTGCAGACCTCGGGACTCAGCACAGGGATGGTGGGAACCCCTCATAATGGGCACAGCGGGTGTACAGTGCAGGGTTGGTGGGAACCCCTCATAATGGGCACAGCGGGTGTACAGACCCAGAAACTCAGCACAGGGATGGTGGGAACCCCTCATAATGCAAATGTAGCCTTCCTAGAAAAGCTTGCTCCTCCGGACTGACAATCGCTCATCAAGACATTTTCCTACCATAACTCCTCCCAAGAGACAGCCCACTTCAGGTCTGAGGGCTCTTGAGAGAAGTACTGAGGCAGGGGGCTGTAATGTTTTCAGAAACCTATCTACAGCCCCCTCCCACCAGCCATGATCTGTCTGCATTGCCTAGAGAAGCACAGAGACCCAGTATGTGACATCACTGGGTCTAAAATAAGACATAGGGGGGGGGGGGGGTAACCCAATAATAACTGAGCTCTTATTACATTACAATTCATGAGGGATGCGAACCGAAACCGGGGGTCCAGATTTATTCTACGTGGGGTTAAAAAAACAAACATTTATTTTGAAGACAAATATGTTTTGTTTTTTGTATTGGAGGAGATTGAACTACAGAAAGAATGTCTGTCCAGCAGCTGTGCAGAATTAAAACTTTATTGCCTCGTTGAAATAAAAAAAGGTTCCATTACCCCCCCCCCCCCCCCCCCCCCCCCACATAGTATCTTGGAGTTCCACCAGCAGCCCTTTCCCAGTCACGGGCCCCTGAGGCCACAGAGGAGGAGCTTCAAGGACTTGGACGCCCTAACCGCTGCAGAGGAGACGAATATTCGGGGCCGGGAGCTCGGCAAGGTCTCTGACCTGTCATACTGGCAGACTGTAGATAGGGGGCGCCCCCCCGCACTGGAAGAGTTATTTTCAGTGTCATTACTGCAACATTGTAACATTTACCCGGTCTTTGTTTTGTTTTTCAGAAAATGTTCGGCTTATAATTTTGCTCGCTGGTACTTATCTTGGTTGACCTAGAACTGATTGCACGATTATTCATGCCGACACGCTTGCGGGCAGCCTGTGCATAATTGACTAAGCCGCAGGTCTAGAATAGTTTCATTTAGATTCTGCTCGCTATTACTCATTCTGATACAGAGAAATAGACGTGCTCTCCTTAGCGGCCATCTATATACAAGGTTTTATCACTGAAAAACCTAAAATAGATTATTCTGGGGGTGTTTTTTGCCTGCATGCTGGTTGTCAGCCTGTGTTTACCTGACTAAGCCGCAGGTCTGTATACATATACATACAAAGAAATATAATTCACAAACATCCTGTTACATCTACACAAGTTAATTTGACTGACACATCTTATTGGCTTAGAATAGAGTGCATTATTTTTAATGCCTGCATGCTTGCAGGCAGCCTGTGTGTAACTGACTCAGCCGCAGGTCTGTATACATATGTACAAAGAAATGTGATTGAGAAACATCCTGTTACATCTACACAAGTTAATTTGACTGACACATCTTATTGGCTTAGAATAGAGTGCATTATTTTTAATGCCTGCATGCTTGCGGGCAGCCTGTGTTTACCTGACTCAGCCGCAGGTCTGTATACATATATACAAAGAAATATAATGACAAACATCCTGTTACATCTACACAAGTTAATTTGACTGACACATCTTATTGGCTTAGAATAGAGTGCATTATTTTTAATGCCTGCATGCTTGCGGGCAGCCTGTGTGTAACTGACTCAGCCGCAGGTCTAAAATAGTTTCACATTTAGATGCTGCTCGCTGTTACTCATTCTGGATACTGCATTTGATACAGAGAAATAGACATTCTCTCTTTAGCGGCCATCTACATACAAGGTTTTATCACAGAAAAACGTCCTGTTGACTAAAATAGATTATTCTGGGTTTTTTTTTGCCAGCATGCTGGTTGTCAGCCTGTGTGTAACTGACTAAGCCGCAGGTCTGTATACATATATACAAAGAAATATAATTCACAAACATCCTGTTACATCTATACAAGGTAACTTGACTGACACATCTTATTGTCTTAGAATAGAGTGCATTATTTTTAATGCCTGCATGCTTGCGGGCAGCCTGTGTGTAACTGACTAAGCCGCAGGTCTAAAATAGTGTCACATTTAGATTCTGCTCGCTGTTACCCATTCTGATACAGAGAAATAGATATGCTCTCTTTAGCGGCCATCTATATACAAGGTTTTATCACAAAAACGTCCTGTGGACCTAAAATAGATTATTCTGGGGTTTTTTTTTGCCTGCATGCTGGTTGTCAGCCTGTGTGTAACTGACTAAGCCGCAGGTCTGTATACATATATACAAAGAAATATGATTGACAAACATCCTGTTACATCAACACAAGTTAATTTGACTGACACATCTTATTGGCTTAGAATAGATTGCATTATTTTTAATGCCTGCATGCTTGCGGGCAGCCTGTGTGTAACTGACTCAGCCGCAGATTAAAATAGCGTCACATTTAGATTCTGCTCGCTGTTACCCATTCTGGATACAGAGAAATAGATATGCTCTCCTTAGCGGCCATCTATATACAAGGTTTTATCACAGAAAGACGTCCTGTGGACCTAAAATATAATATTATGGGTTTTTTTTTTTTTTTTGCCTGCATGCTGGTTGTCAGCCTGTGTGTAACTGACTAAGCCGCAGGTCTGTATACATACTGTATGTAAAAAGAAATATGATTGACAAACATCCTGTTACATCTACACAAGGTAATTTGACTGACACCCATCTTATTGGCCTACAATAGATTGCATTATTTTTAATGCCTGCGTGCTTGCGGGCAGCCTGTGTGTAACTGACTAAGCCACAGGTCTCTATACATATGTATGAAGAAATATGATTGACAAACATCCTGTTACATCTACACAAGGTAATTTGACTGATACCCATCTTATTGGCTTAGAATTGATTGGACGATTATTCATGCCAACACGCTTGCGGGCAGCCTGTGCATAATTGACTAAGCCGCAGGTCTAGAATAGATTCACATTTAGATTCTGCTCGCTATTACTCATTCTGGATACAGAGAAATAGACGTGCTCTCCTTAGCGGCCATCTATATACAAGGTTTTATCACAGAAAGACTAAAATAGATTATTCTGGGGGGTTTTTTGCCTGCATGCTGGTTGTCAGCCTGTGTGTAACTGACTAAGCCGCACGTCTCTATACATATGTACAAAGAAATATGACTGACAAACATCCTGTTACATCTACACAAGGTAACATGAGTGGCACACATCTTATCATTCTTTTTCTTGCCTGCATGCTGGTTGGCAGCCTGTGTGCTACTTTGTGAGATAAAAAAAAAACAAATTATATATATATTTTTAATTACAATAATAAGTAAAAAAAAAAAAAAAAAAAAGGTCCTAGTGGTGCATTATTTTTCATGCCTGCATGCTTGTCGGCAGCCTGTGTATACCTGAATACAATACAGGCCTACTTTGTTGTGAGATTAAAAATACAAGAAACAAAAACTATATATATATATATATATATAAATTTAAAAAAAATGACAATAATAAATAAAAAAAAAAATTAAAAATATATATATATCTATAATAATAATTTAGAATTTTTTTTTAAGACAATAAATAAATAAATAAATATATATATATATATATATAATTTTTTTTTACTTATTATTGTAATTTTTTAAATTTTTTTTTATATATATATATATATATATATATATATATATATATAATTTTAAAAAAATTACAATAATAAGTAAAAAAAAAAAAAAATATATATATATATATATATTTTTTATTTTTTATTTTTTTTTTTTACTTATTATTGTAAATTTTTTTTAAAATTATATATATATATATATATATATATATATTTTTTTTTTTTTTACTTATTATTGTAATTTATTAAATTTTTATTTATATATATATATATATATATATATATATATATATATATATATATTTAAAAAAAAAAATTACAATAATAAGTAAAAAAAAAAAAAAAAAAAAAAAATAAAAAATATATATATATATATATATATAATATACATTTTTTTTTTACTTATTGTAATTTTTTAAATTTAATATATATATATAAAAAATAAAAATTTTAAAAAAAATACAATAATAAGTAAAAAAAAAAAAAATAAATATATATATAAAATTAAAAAAAAATTACAATAAGTAAAAAAAAAAATGTATGTGTGTGTATATATCTATAATAATAAATAGAAAAACAAAATTTTAAGACAAAAAAAAAAAAAATATAGAGATATATATATATAAAAAATAATCATTAAAAAAAGTACTATAATAAGTAAAAAAAAAATATATAATAATAAATAAAAAAAAAAGTGTATATATATTTATATATATATATATATAATATATATAAAATAATAATACAAAAAAAATCCCATATATAAATAAGAATTTAAAAAAACAAAATAGAAAATTAAAAAAAAATTAAAAAGTGTATGTATGTATGTGTGTGTGTGTATATATATATATATATATATATATATAATAATATACACACACTTTTTACAGTCAGGACAGGAAGTGGGGAAAATCTATTGAACTGGGGCACTATATAATAAAGGGGGAAGGGTGTCACTGGGACAGGATGTGAGGAAAAATCTTCACAGTGGGGACACAAACAGCTTTAAAAACTTCAGATTCTAACCCTTCCGCACTCCAAAATTAAAAAAAAAAAAAAAAAATATTGTTAAATGTTATATGTCAGCTGCCTTTGTTTTATGACGCTGTTAGTCTTTTCTTTTATTGCCCTTTCAAAGGTAATCTTTTGCTTTTGGTCCTGGATTCCGGCCCTCTGGCGTTTGTCCATTCTGTCCAAGGAAAACAAATGGTTCCGCGGTGCCTACAACAGGAGTACGTCAGCGGCCGGCGCTAAGAAACCAAAACAACTTTTTTTT